GGCAGCTCCCAGGGCAAAGGAAGCAGGGCGCAGAGCCCTGAGCCCACAGCAGGCAGCCTGCCTCTGTCACGCAGGGAGCACGTGACCCCCATGCCTCCTCCAGGGATGCATGCTGCTGTGGGGAGCTGCGCCCACCTGCACCTCTGGATGACCTGCCCCAGCCCCAGGGCCCCCTTCTCCTGCCCCACTCCCATCCGAGCCCCTTCTCCTGCCTCCCATCCAAGCCCCTGCTCCTGCTCCACTCCCTCCCTCATCGTGGGGGTCTCAGTCTTCCCCCTCCCACTGCCCCTTCCCCTCCACCTACCAGCTGGGTGCTGCCTGTGTGTCTGTATCTATGTGCGTGTCTGTTCCTCAATTCCAAGCCACAGCCCCCGCCCCCCCAGCCCCGCTGCTGCCTCTCACTCCTGACTCACAGTACCCCACATCCTGCCAGGGTGTGCCCCCCCCCCCACACACACCCACAGCCTCCCACACCTCCACAAATAACACCCCGCCTCCACATACACTTCACATATAGCATCTCACGATTTACATGCCAATCTCTTAATTTTTTTTTTAAGTTTGTCTCATGATTTTTGGCACAGTGTGTTTGTCAGTACTGAGAATGTGTGTTTTCTGCAGCTGGATTCCAAATTAAAGGAGTAGCTGTGGCTAAATTGCCTGAATTTTCTAGGCTACAGGAGCAATTATCTGTCTTTTTAGGTACCTGGGGCAGTTAGTCAATGCTGACATTCTCAAAACCACCACTTAATTGCATTTAACTCTGTAAGCTCCTAAATTTTCACCAGCTGTCATGCAAAAATATTTGAGAACATGTGGCGCTCGGAAGAGGTTCCTGAAGATTGGAAGAAGGCCAATGTAGTGCCCATCTTCATGAAAGGGAGGAAGGAAGATCCAGGGAACTACAGGCCAATCGGTTTGACCTCAATCCCTGGTAAGATATTGGAAAAAATCATCAAAGAAACCATTAACAACAGGCTAACAGAATGCAACGTTCTGAGAAATAGCCAACATGGCTTCATTGTGGGTAGGTCTTGCTCGACCAACCTCATTTCCTTCTATGACCAGATGACGCATCATCTGGACAAGGGAGAAGTTGATATAATTTTTTTTGGACTTTATAAAAGCCTTTGACTTGGTCTCCCATGAAGTCCTCATGGTAAAACTAGGGAACTGTGGCCTTGACAACTTTACGAGGCTGGGGAACTGGCTCCGTGGTCAGACGCAGAGAGTGAGAGTTGATGGAACTGTGTCAACATGATGCATGGTAACCAGTGGCATCTCCCAGGGCTCTGTACTTGGACCAGTACTCTTTAATATATTTATAAACAATCTGAATTTAGGTATCAGAAGTGGATTGGCTAAATTCACTGATGACACCAAATTATGGGGAAGTGTGGTCACACTAGAAGATAGGCTGGAGATTCAGCCTGACCTGGATAAGCTTGCAAGGTGAGTGGATCAAAACCTGATGACATTCCACAGAGAGAAATGCAAGATGCTCCACCTTGAGGGGGTGGAAAAAATCCACATCATACTTACAGGCTTGGCAATGCTATACTCACTAGCACCACAACTGAAAGAGACCTGGGGGCCATGATTGACCACAGGATAAACATGAGCCACCAATGCGATGCCGCAGTTAGCAAAGCAAACAAAACCCTACTGATGCATCTCAAGCAAGATCCAGGCAGCCATCCTCCTGCTTTACTTGGCCCTGGTGAGGCTGCAACTGGAATACTGTATCCAGTTCTGGGCTCTGCATTTTAGAAAGGATGTGGAGAAGCTTGCGAGAGTCCAGAGGAGAGCCACACACATGATTAGAGGACAAAAGAACAGGCCTTATGAGGAGAGGCTGAGAGGCATGGGACTCTTCAGCCTGGAGAAGTTAAGGCTTGGGGGGATGTGGTGGCTGCCTATTCAAATATTATAAAAGCCTTAATCTGTCTGTCTGTCCATAACACTTTATTTGCGCTCTGATTGGCTGACAAACCCACTGTGGTGGAGAGGGGGGCACCGGGCCTGGACCCCAAGCAGCGGAAGGGAAGTGGCAAGCAGGCCCAGACGGGGAGGGGCACGGGGCTCCATTTCCGCCTGCTCTCCCCCCACAATCATTCTTGATGGGCAATTGGCTAGTAAGTATATAAGGGGTACATCAGGGACTGGGAGAACATCTGTTCACCAGGGCACCCCAAGGTCTAATGGTCAGAAACTCCAGGAAAACCAGTGGTGATGCGTAGGGGGTGCACGGGGGTGTACGTGCACGCCCTGAGAGTGCTGATGCACCCCTGACTGGCTGTGCTCGCTGCTTAGGCGATGGGCGGGGCGGGGGGGCTGGCGGGAGTGGCCACAGCCA